CATCCAGCGGGGCGTGGAGTTCGACGTGCTGGTCACAGAGAACTTGGAGCTGTTGTTACGGAGAGTGAGGACTGGCTGGTTCTGGTGGGTGCATGTTGCCCCCCCGTGCGCGACGTTTTCGAGAGCAAGGCAGCCGCCGCTGAGGTCGAGCGATCACCCGTGGGGGCTGCCGGACTGCACGGAGACGGACCAGGCCAAGATAGACGAAGGGAACGCTTTGGCTTTGATAGCAGTAGAGGTGGTCAAGATCTGCCTACGCCTTGGCATTGGATTCACCCTCGAGAACCCCAGGACCAGCATGATATGGGCGTTCGCGCCAATGACCGCGCTCTTGGATCTCGAGGGGGTTTTCCGTGTGGAGGTGGATTACTGCATGTATGGCGAAGAATGGAGGAAGCCAACTACGTTCATCACCAACGTGAAGAAGATGGCGACGCTACAGCGGGTGTGCGTGTGCCCCTCGAGCCGATGCAGTCGGACTGGCCGAGCTCACCGAGAACTACGAGGACGATCACCAGGTGGGCTACGGTGGACTCAGGTGGCATGTGCTTACCCGCTGGAGTTGTGCAGGGCATACGCGTCCACTCTGCAGGAGCTCGAGCCGCACTGGGACTCGATACCAGCGGGGGCCCGGCTTCGCCTGCAGGGCGACCGCGGGCGCGTCGTGCGAGCGACTGGGCCGGCCCTGCCTCTGCTGGGCCATTGGCTGGAGAAGAAGTGGCACGTGCTGTTTCAGGGACGTTGGTCTCACGCAGAGCACAACAATGTCTTGGAGTTGCGTACGGTGGTGGCGGTGCTCCGACACCTCAGTCGCACGTCCCAGAGCTGGAATCACCGCGTGCTGTTCTTCACCGACTCGTTGGTGAGCCTAGGCGTCCTCAAGAAGGGGCGCTCGTCAAGGACGTCCCAGAGCTGGAATCACCGCGAGCTCACCGAGACTCGTCGGTGAGCAGGCATCCTCAAGAAGGGGCGCTCGTCTGCCAAGGACCTCTTGCACCTGGCGAGGATCGGCGGCATCATCCAGATGGTCTGCAGGATCCGCGGGTACTTCAGGTGGGTGCCGAGCGAGCTCAACCTGGCAGACGGCCCCTCGAGAGGTCAAGGCATAGGCGCGGCGGAGGACACAGTGGCGGGCCACGTGGGCCGTGGGGTGCCGAAGGAGCTACTTCAGCGGCTGCAAGATCGGGCCCGACGAGGACCGCCTGGAGCTTCGCATTTGTGATGGCCATGAGCGGGCTGACGCTGTGCGAAGCGATGCCGCGGCGCGGGGTGGACGGCCCCGCTACGACCTCTGCAAAGCCCCCCCCCTCTGGCTAAGAGGGGCGCTCGGGCCTGGGAGCAGGCCCCGAGTGACAAGCTGCACCACAATGCGAGGCTCGTGGTGCACGCCGTGGACGACGCCACGAATCAGATCTACGAGAAGGAAGTGAGGACCTTTCTCCTGGACGTGAAGCGGCACGGGCTCCCCTTCTCCACTTGCGAGGAAAGGGATGCGGCGCTTGGCGGGTACATATCGGACATGTGCTACGTGATGCAGTTGCCCTTCGGCAGGGCGTCGGCGCTGTTCAATGGTTTCATGCACATCTTCGAGGATCACCGCAATCGGCTCCCCGTCGCGGCCAGGGCGCTGAAGTCCTGGTCTAGGATGGGCTTCCAGAAGGAGGGGGCGCCGGTGCCGTTCGAAGCTGCGGGGTGCGTGCTCTACGACCTCTTTGAGCACGGCCAGCTGTGCGAGGGGGCCGCGGTGCTGCTGCAGCTGGGCGGCTGGCTGAGGGAGCAGGACTGGGGCCTCCTCAGGAAGACGGACGCGGCGGTGGGGCCCGACGGGGAGGTCGGGCTCACCTTGGGCCGCAGAGAGCGGGGCGAGAAGGTGAAGACGGGAGCGAACCAGGGCGTCGTGGTCTCGTGGCAGGTAACGAAGGCCATCCTACGGGCGATTGGCAAGGGCGCGGCGCCACGGGACCTCCTCTTCCCGATCTCGCAGGACAAGTACAGGAAGGCGTGGAGGCTGGCCTTCGACAGGGCGGGCCTGGCGGACTTCGGGCCCCCGCGCTCGCTGAGGCACGCGGGGGCGGCGGCCTACATCGCCGCAGGCGGCTCGCTGGAGGCGGCGCGCCGGAAGGGCCGCTGGCAGACCACGTCGGCCCTTCAGCGCTACACGAAAGTGCACGTGCTGATCGAGCAGCGGAGCCGGCTCACCCCCGCGCAGCTTGAGCGGGGGAGGGCCTTCTGGCGCAGGCCGGCCCAGCAGATCTCGGAGGCCATCTACCGCTCCGACGCTGTGCTGGCCCCGCTGGCGCGGGACATGGTGCACGAGCTCGGGGCAGCCAAGAACGACGAGGTCGTGCTGCCGCAGCTGGAGAGCATGGCGGACGGGGGCGCGGAGCCCACCAGCCGCCCGTCCACCGCTGGCCGTAGCAGGGCCAGACGGCAATGAGCAGGCTGCTGCAGCCCACACCCTCATTTCAGGCCCCGCCTTTTGCGGGGGCCATATCTTTTGATATGAATGCAGGAGCCTCGAGAGTTGGGCGCGTGCACCCTGTCCTCCACTTGTCTTCCTTGAACATTTGATAGATATGGGGAAAATATAAAGCAGGTTTTTTGGTGGGTGAGAGCGACACAAATTATCTCCCTTTCCCCCCCGCCCGAATGTGCGCCGCGCTCGTGTCTAGCTGTGGCTGGAAGCGTGAAGGCACAAGTGCCAGTCTAGTGATGACGGGACTGGGGGTTTCGCCGCGAGGCTTTTTGGCCCGACCGCGGGCCGAGGCACGGTCAGGTACCTCTCGGCCTTTTATGTTTCGGGCCTCACACGGGGCCCCGCCGCTGCGAACAGATACTTTCGGAGGGTGCCCCCTCCTCTCGAGCCGCTCGCTGTCCTGTGGGGTGTCTCTCCCGCTGCTGCGTCGGATATTCTGTGGGGCCTCTTTTGATTAGGGTTGTCGCTCTACCCCCGCCTGCCCCCAGCACTCTAAAATCAAGATTTAATGGTATAGGCACGCTCCGAGTTAACATATATCCAAGCCTGGCTCTCGAGTGTGGGTGCTGTGTAAATACGCGTTTTTAAACACACTTTTACACGCCCCCTGTAAACGTTCAGATAGCCGCCTCAACTGTAAATTAAGAGGAGGACTAGCGCATTCTCTCTCGTGCTTGACCCTCCTCTCCTGGCGCAAAGTTTCGGCTCCCAACCCTGCCCACCCTTGGGCTTGTATGAGCTCGGGGGTTTCGCCGCGAGGCTTTTTGGCCCGACCGTGGGCCGAGGCACGGTCAGGTACCTCTCGGCCTTTTATGTTTCGGGCCTCACACGGGGCCCCGCCGCTGCGAACAGATACTTTCGGAGGGTGCCCCCTCCTCTCGAGCCGCTCGCTGTCCTGTGGGGGTGTCTCTCCCGCTGCTGCGTCGGATATTCTGTGGGGCCTCTTTTGATTAGGGTTGTCGCTCTACCCCCGCCTGCCCCCAGCACTCTAAAATCAAGATTTAATGGTATAGGCACGCTCCGAGTTAACATATATCCAAGCCTGGCTCTCGAGTGTGGGTGCTGTGTAAACTACAGTTTGCAGGTTGATAAGTATATTAAGAAGCTCCGTGAGGATTGTCTTGGGCCGCCAGTAAATAAAGCAACCCGTGCCAACGTTCGCTCCCAGGTTAAAGCCCTGTCAGCAGGACGAGTGCCGAGGACTCGGCGGCCCATCCCTCTCGGACCTGCTGCAGCTGGTTCTGGCGGCCAGGAGGCCGCCCCCTCCAGCCCCGCTGCGCCCTCTCGTGTTGCTGCCGCCCTCCGACTGGAGGAGACGGCGACTAAGGGGAGGGATGGGGTGGTGGACGGGGGCGGGACGGAGTCGGGATCCGACTAGTCGAATCTCTCTGCTGCTGGACCTGTCCAGCCTGACCTGGGGCCTTCCCCCACCCGTGGGTCTTTGGTCCCAGGCCGCCGCCTGCCGCCCCCCTGTCGTCTGGATAGGGCCTTGGAGTGGCCTAGGCTTCACTGTTCGTCAGCCTGTTTGGCTGACCCTGGATCGACCTAAGGGTTGATCACTTCGTGGGGCCTCGGGGTTTTCGAGGCCCCTCTCTCTTCAATTCGGCCCTCTTCCGTTCCTTTGGGTTCGGTTGGGGCTCCCGTCTTGGACACGCCCAGCAAATGTGGAACGAAGACAGAACCAGGGATGACGAAAACAGAACGAACATGGAATACGCTGTTTAACTCGAGCCCTGGTCAAGGAGGCGGGAGTGCAAGTCATGACTGTCGGCGCGTGCGCGGCCCAGCGGGGGGGCCAGGGACGTAAGGAAACAAGAAGAGGCGCCGCGAGATCTGGGGAGATACATCATGGCCCCCGCCAGGGTATCCACCCCCCCCTCCCCAGTCATCACCCCCCTCTCTGCCGCCCCCGAACCTGGTGCAAGTGGCGCGCGAGAACGAGCTCGACCGTGCGGACCTCTGGGGCGCGCGCGCTGCCAGCTCCTGCGCGCCGCTCTGCTCCACGCGGTGCCCCGCGCCGGCGGCCTGCCTCGGCCGCCGCCTGAGGCCGCTGTGCCCTCTCGCGCATGGGCCCCCCCTCTCCCTCGGCGCTGCTCGTCGTCCCTGGACGTGTCGGTCGCCGACGGCGTCCCCGTCGTCCGTCGTCGTCCGTCGTCCGTCGGCGTCGGCGTCGGTCCGCCGGCCTCGGCGTCGGTCAGTCGGCTTGGGCGCCGCGTAATGGGGGGGTCATAAATGGGGGGGTGGCGAGGGTGGTTCGAGAAGGTACCCAAACGGTACCTAAACGAGCCCCCTGGGGCTCTGGAGGGGCCCGAAAGGGGCACGAAATGGGACCTTTTCTGACCCCTCCGTTTATGACCCCCCCCATTAAGTCCCGCCCGATCGGTCGTCGTCGGTCGTCGTCGGTCGCCGTCGTCGTGGCGTGTCTCGTGGCCGCAGCCTGGCGGTGCTGCCGGCCTCCATATGGGCCGTGCCGCCGCCCGGCCGCCCATGCCGCGGCGGGCGCCCCTCCCGGCCCGCCAGAGGCACGGCGCCTGGCGGCACCCGCGCGGGTGCGGCAGCTACACGCCGGCGGCCGCGCTGCAGGTCGGCCGCCGGCGGCGGAGCGGACATTTGGGCGCCCGAGTTATCCAGGGTAACTCGGGTCCTGGGTAACTCGGGTTTGGATTCCCGAAAAAAGGAACCCGAGTTAGTCCTGACCCGAGTTACCCCTGATGATGTGGGGCTCTGGACGCCCGAGTTATCCGGAGTAACTCGGGTCCGGGGTAATTCGGGTTTGGATTCCCGAAAAACGAACCCGAGTTATCCCTGACCCGAGTTACCCCTGATGATTCGGGGCTCTGAGAGTTCCCAGGGCAGCCACAGCTTCAAGCAGTGGCGAAGCGTCCCAGCTCGCCAATAGCCCCGCCAAGCAATGTTCTCTAAGAAAGGTGTGTGGTGTCCACGAACTGTTCTTCGAACATATCTGGCTGGGACCGTCTTGCTTTCACACATCGGGCTTAGGTTCTAAGAACATCATTTTGGTTATTGGAGCATTTTCGGGTTCTAAGAACATGTCGTGGTAGGACTATAGGAATGCCGGGACGGTCGGTCTCTGCTCAACAGCTGGGGGAGCTGTGGTCCTTACCCCCCTTGGGGACCCATCGATTTCGACGCCCCTCTCGAGAGATCGTCGATGCGATGGGTTCCCCCAGGGGGGGCACGCACCACAGCCCCCCCCAGTTGTGACTGGTCGAGTTCCGAGGCTGGGTTTTACCCACATCCACCGCCTGGGGGATCGAGCCTTGCGGGCCTCCGCGGGCGGTGGATCTGGATATACGCGGGCCCTCGGGAGCCAAGACATATGTGTCCACATCCACGCCCGCTGGGGCGGCCGCCAGACGTCGGGCCCCAGGCTGTGGATATGGATAAGTTCCTGCCTCGCGGGGGTGGCCGCCAGGATGTGTCAGTCGGCGAGCGAGCGGAGTGGCCGCCAGGATGCAGCAGTCCTGGCCCCGCTCGCGGGGGTCTTGTCGCTGCTGCATCCAGCAGTGTGCTTCGTGTGCGCCAGCGTGGGCCCCGGCCATACCGTTATCGAGCGCTGCATGCGTAGTGCATGTGTGATGGAGTCTGTATGTTGCAGGGTATGTGTGTCTGCCTGTGCGGAGCAAGCCACTCAGTGCAACCCGTGTGTGTTGTGCAAGGTGTGCGCGGTGCAGGTGTGGTGCAGGCAAGGTGGTCCAATTGCCAGCGCACGGTGCGCCCACGAGGCGCCGGGAAGGCGGTCCCCAGGCGTAACTTCGGTGGACCCAGCCAGTTCTTGACGCATCGCGTATCCCCACCAGCTCGGACGTATTCCCAGTTGTTGACCAAAAGTATCCCCACCAGCCGCATGCACGTGGGCCTGGTGCACTTCTCGGTCCTCCTCACCCGCTGAGCGTTGCGCGATTTGCCTGTGCACGCGCGGCCTAATTTAGATCGCTGCTCGCTGCTTGCGACTTTCTGACGGCGTGCGGCTGTTCTGTATCGCCCGCGGACCCCCCCCCCCAAACAAAAATACCCCCACCAGCCAGTCCATCGAGAGACGAAGGCCAGGGGAGTTGTCTGAAGGGGTCGGCGGCGAACGAGGGGGGGATGTGAGAAGGAGGAGGCCTTCTCAGAAGGCAGCGGGGCTTCTCTGAATCGCTCGGGCCCTCTGAAAAGTTGTCTGCGTCTTCGGGGAAGGCTTAGAACATTTCTCAAAAGGCCAGGGCCAGGGGACTTACGAGCCTTCTGAGAAGGCCCGCCCTTTCTCACTTACCCCCCGAGCTCGCCGCCGAAGGATGGTCGCGGGCAAGCAGGATGTAGTGAAGCAAGGAGGCCAACGCTTGCGGAACATGACCTGGGGGAGCCTTTCGGAACCATCTCGATGCCCCTTTGATTCCGTTTCAATCTCTGGGGCCCTCTTTCAGGCCATCGATCGAACAACAGGGGTTCTTGACTACGCTGCCCTCGTCGGAGGCGAACATGGCCTGTTGGGTCGCCTTTTCGGAATATCTTGGAGCCCCATTGTGGCTGTTAGCGGTTGTGGAGCCGTTTTGAGGCCTCCAGAGCCGATCGGAGGGTCGAAAATGCGATAAGGCAAACATCCCAGAACCCCGACGTTATGTCTTTCTCACGGCGTCGACCCCCAGGGGTCTTGCCCCATTCTACGGGATTTTTTTGTGAACCTTGAGTCGGTTTGACCGGTCCCGAGGCTTGGCAAGCGCCCCAAAGGCTGAAAGCAGCGAAGCACCATCCGTCGTGCTTTTCTCATGACTCGATGGGGGTGTCCCCCACGTTTTCGGCCTCCCCCTCGCCGTCGTCGTCGTTGTCGTCGCCGCCGTCGTTGTGGCTCGTGTGTGCCGACTCACTGTTAGACCGCAGCGCCGCCGGCGGTGCAGCTTGTCTCACCGCTTCCAGCCGTTGCACATCTGACGTGTTCGTTTTTGTTGTTTGCCTCTCTCTCTCTCTCTCTCCTTATATCCCTCTCTTTCTCTTTTCCCCTCCTTTCCCTCCCTCTTTCAGAAGGGGAGGGATATCATCGATCGGCCAACAGCGCGCGCAAGACTCGAGCGCTCGCCGTCCCCTCCCTGGAGGTGGCCCCGCCAACGCCGCCCTCCGCGGCGCGCGCGGGCCCGCTGCGGGTGCGTGTGTGGTCTCTCGGCCTGCACGCCACCTTGGCGACGCAGCTTAGAGCGAGTCCACCTTATGCCTCTCTCCCTGGCCAGGGGGGGAGGATGGAGGAGGAGGGGCGAGCCGAAGGTCACATCCAGGAGAGGAAGAGTCGAAGAGGAGGGGAAGGAGGAGGATGAGGAATGGGGGAGGGTGGAGCCTCCCATCAACAGCCTGAGGCAGGCTCCGCGATAGAGAAATCGGATAGTAACTAACGGCGTCAACGAACTTTTGGACTTTTGGAGCTCCGCGCGGTCTTCTTCGATCGGCGCTGGGCCCCCTGGCACGCCGATCCAGACATCGGCGCACGCCACCAATCAATTTTCTGTATGCAGTTGTTGTTCCCCCCTCAAGCGGTCAGAAGAGTAAGGTATACCGATGCCGCCATCACCCTTCCCAAGTCGCCACAGTTGGTTTCGCATCGGCGTTCTTGCCAGAAGGCACCCCAGAGGAGGTCTGGGGCGTTGCGATATCTGTATATGTATGCCCCCCAAGAGGACGAGGGCGAATGAGGGACGAGCAGGTAGGGAAAGGCAGGAGGAGGGAGGAGGAGGAGGGAGGAGGAGGAGGAGGAGGAGGAGGAGGAGGAGGAGGAGGGAGGAGGAGAGAGAGTAGGAGGGAGGAGAAGGAGGAGGAAGGAGGAGGGAGGAGGAAGAGGAAAGGGAGGATCGAGGCTCGAGGAGTGAGGGTGGAGTTTGTTGTGCATAATTCTAGACGCTTCGCGTACCCTCACCTATCCTGGACGCCGCCCGACTGTCTCGGTGCGGTCGCGATCAAAACAGTACCCTCACTTGTTGCCGCTGCTTGCCCAGCGTCCGTTTCGTGCTCTTGCGTGCCCCAAAAAACCATCACCAGCCCACCAGACACGTTGCCCAGACGATTTGCCCTGATCAGGCATGTGGAGACGAATGCAGTGGAATACATGGTGCGATAAGGCGTCGTACCCCAATAGGGAGAGGATGCAGGAGAAATTGGAGGAGGACCAGAAGGAGGAGGATGATGAGGAGGAAGAGTAGGAGGAGCAGGATAAGGGGGAGGCGGGAGGATGAAGGAGGAGGACACGGAGGAGGAGGAGGATGAGGCAGAAGAGGGGGAGGAGGAGGTGGAGGAGGAGGAGGAGGAGGGGGAGCAGAAACGCCAGATGTCTCTTGGGGGCCTCTTGGGCCATCTTGAGGGTCTCTTGGCAGTCCAGGGGGGCTCTTGGGGCGTCTTGAGTGCCTCTGGGGCATCTTGGGGTCTCGTGGGAGCCTCTCAGGGGCATATTTGGGGCCTCTTGGGGCCTCCTGGGCACCTCTTGGGGCCTCCTGGGAGCACCCTTGGGCGCCTCGGGGGCTATCTTGGGGCCATCTTGGAGTTGATCGATCAAAGGAGGGGCCGTGGCAAATTAGGCCACCCCCCCAGGAGGCCACAATGTGCCCAGCACCTTGCCAAGGCCATCTTGGACACTCCAACTGGCCGCGACCCCCCCCCCCCTAACACTAACACAACCACAAGCACAAACAATCAGACACACACAACGACAATCACAACCACAAGGACAAAACACACATAAACATAAGCACACACACACGCGCACACACACGAACACAAAATTACAAAGACGAGCAAACGCACACGTACACACAATCACAAACACAGACACCACCACAAGCACAACGTCAACAACACAACCAAGCCGCAACCACAAACACACACACACACTAACACAACCACCAACACAAACACAAACACACACAAACACAAACACACACACAAACACGACCACAGCCACACACAAACACGACCACACACACACGCACGCACAGCACACAAACACAAACACAACACACACAACCACAAGCACACACAAACACAAACACAAACACGCACACACACAACCATACCCAAACACAAGCACACATACACACATAATCACATTCAAGTACACACAGACACAATCACACACGCAACCACACACGCACACACAAACACAAACACAAGCTCAAGCACACACACGAACACAGACATTCACACATGCACATACACATTTACACACATACGCAGAGGTCTATGTAGATACCTGCACACGTTCACACATATACATATATACACATATAGAGGGAGGGAGAGAACGAGAGAGAGAGAGAGAGAGAGAAGAGAGAGAAAGAGAGAGAAAGAGAGAGAGAGAGAGAGACAACAAACAAAAATAGACCAGGTGGCGGCCGGACCTGGGTTGGCATGGGGGCGCCAGACGGTCCCTGAGGCTCCTAGAGGGTCCCAGACGTTGCCCAGACCAGCCCAAGTGATTGCACCAGCACGCCCCAAGACGACGCCGCAGCAGCCTTGAATGGCGGCCAAGCTGGCCCAAGAGACCCCAAAAAGGCCCCCCAAAGAGCCTCAACATTCCAAAAAGGGCTGTACAGGCGGCCGAGGAGCTCCAAGACGGCCACCCAAATGAGCCCCGACACACCGAAAGGGCCCTACAGAGGCCTTCGCGAGGGCCTTCAATTCGGCCGCAAACGTCATGCACCCGGAGAGCCTTCCAGGAACACGATTGCTGCCGCCAAGAGGAGGAGAAGGAGTAGTCGTTGGGGGAGGAGAAGGAGGATGATGAGGAGGAGGAGGAGGAGGAGGAGGAGGAGGAGGAGGAGGAGGAGAGGAGGAGGAGGAGGAGGAGGAGGAGGAGGAGGAGGAGGATGTGGAGGAGGAGGAGGAAAAGGAGGAGGAGGTTGGGGAGTTATAGAGACGGGACGGAGGCAGGGGACGATACGGAGGACGAGGATGGCACAAATGAGGAGGAGGAGGAGGAGCAAAAGGAGGGCGGACAACATGGGGAAACGAGAAGCATGGAAACGAACCCCATTCTCATCCGTTGCTCCCCCCCGCCTTCCTTCCCACATCGCCCACGGAAGGGCACCAGGCCCCCAAGAGGGCCCCATCATGACCCAAATGACATGTTCCCGGGGAGCCTTCTGGAAAATGGTGGCCGCCGCCATCCCGAAGATGAGGGTAGGAAGAGGAGGAGGAAAAGGAGGAAGAGGAGGATGAAGATGACGGCGACGACGAGGGGGAGAGGGGGCTGCGGAGGCAGAGGATACGGATCGGAGGAAAAGGGACATATTGAAAAGGCAACAGGAATATATACTCATCCTCTGGCCCAGCTCTCGCCCTTTTCCCGCTCCATCCCTTTCGCCTTTTCTGCCTTATTACTGCCCTTGTTCCGTATCTCCCTCCCCCTTTTCTTTCTCTGTCTCCTCCCTTCCCCACTTTTCACGACCACGAGGACGATGCCGTCGACGCGAACGACCCCATTCTCGCGTTCGTGAACTCCGGGATTGCCTGCTTGCCATGGGAGTGGATGAGGGTGAGGATGATGAGGATGGCGATGGGGTCTTCGGAGTTGCGCAGAACCTCAGCGCGCGAACCGCCCTCGCGTGGCCCCAGTATCTGTAGCACCCCGCACGCCCGCACGTGCGGATAAGAGTGAGGGGGCGGCGGGGTCGTCGGCAGTCGCGCGTTGCCGACGGCAAACAGCAATCAACCAACAAACCAGATTCTGACTTCAGCCACGCACCCAGGGCGCGCACCCTCGTGCATTCACGCAACGGGAATTCCACTTCAGCCACTTCTGACGTTATATAACGAGCCCGCCGCAGGCGCCGAATTCCTCGTCAATGCAAGTGGGTGGGTCGCGGGTGGATCGCGGGTGGGTCGCGGGTGGGTCGCGGGTGGGTCGCGGCGTGGGTCGCGGGGTGGGTCGCGGGGTGGGTCGTTGTTGGATCGCGGATGGGTCGTTGTTGGGTCGCGTGGTGGGTCGCGGGTGGGTCGCGGGCGTGTCGCGGGCGGATCGTGGGTGTGTCGCGGGTAGGTCGTCAGCGTGTCGCGGGCCAAGTCGCGGGTCGGACGGCGACCGCAAACAACAAACGACAAAAAAACGCAACATCAATTCGCACCGCGGAGTCTCTTGTCAGCCGCGATTTCAATGACAGTGAATGACCCCTCGGCTTTCGCGCTGTGACATCCATCTATATACATACGTGTAAATTTAACTATGTGCACACATAATGCGTCATGATATTATTCGCGGTCTGTTGTGTTACTCTGAGTGTCCCAGGTTTCGCAATCCGTATATGTTTGCGTACTGTCATGTTGAGGTCGGTGGCTTCTCCGATAAGACTTCTTTCATGTTGGCCTTGCAGGCTATTCCAATCAACGCACTACATATTCCCATGGCCGCGTTAGCGGTTCGAAGTCGCCGATGATTGCGTGGCCATTACGAGCCGTCACTATTGTTGGCCCAGGTGTTCCGGAAATCTTTCAATAATGATGTGGTTGCTCAAACGGTTCATGCGTCGAATAGCTGCACGATGTCAAGATGATTGATCCACGTCAGCTAACCAGATTGTGTGTCCCATTGCATTCGTACCGGTTCTACGCAGGCCACATGTCCAGTTCTGATGCGTCAGCATTCTAGAATGCATTTTGCTTGTGCACCCGTCTTAATCGATGCTTGAAGTAATTCATGAGGTTTGTGCCGTTCCGCCGACCATCGGAAAACAAATGTGGTTCGCGAGGGTTGCGGACGAGCATATACGAGCTCAGCATCCCCCGTTCGAGCGCGCTGTTATGCCCCAGGGAAAAAAGGGGACAAGGGGGAAGGGGATTGCCAATCATTTCGCATTATTTAATCGATCCGCCCATTCCGCCTGCCCAATTTGCCTCGCCGCTGTCGTTTGTCGGGGTGCTGTTGTCAATGCGGTGCGGTTGGGCAGCTGCCATTATTCGGAGGCGGTGGGTGGCGGGTTCGACGCCTCACGGATGTTGGTTGGGCTCTCGCGGTTGGTTTCTCAATGCGTTTTTGGGGGGGCATTTTTGGGGCCTCTCGGGGGCCATGATGGGGCCTTTTGGGGGCCTTTGGGAGCTCTTTGGGGTGGCTTTTGGGGGCCCCTTGGGGCCTCTTGGGGTCCTCCCGGGGCCTCATGGGGATTTCTCGGGACTGAAGGCTGGACTTTTCGGTTCCTGGTCACTT